CGTTTGTTGTTTTGCGATGTTCAGTTTCATTTTCTTTTTGGGCATACTTGATTGTCAATTTTACGTGATCATTTTTGACTCAAGATGCCCCTTTTTTTTGACTCATTCGACCGGCGGTGATTTGTTCACCCACCCTAGTAACCCTCCCAATCTGGGGGGAGAAAACGAGCCAACGTGATTTGTGTTGGTTCAAAATTGAAAGAACTCCGATTGACTTTGGATGGAGCTGTGAATTTGAGCTCACTGGATTTCTCCCCCGACCAATCAAGCCAAGGACGAAAAAGAGAACTGTTGATTTTGGCAGCCACCTGTGATTTTCAGTTTCATGCTGTGATGTGTCTGATTTTTCATGCTGTGATGTTTTTGATTTTTCTCGTCTGAATTTCAACCGACGTTTTCCACGGCGATCCACGACGTTTGGGTGTTGATGGTTGCACGAGTCAACCTTCCTTTTACGCCCTCTTTTATGTTTGGGGTCGGCGGTTGGTTTGGCGACCTTTCGTTTAGTTCTGTAGGTTTGCACTACTGTGCACTCCTCTGTAACTAGACGCGCAGGGTTGTGAAACACGTGCGGACTCAACCACTGTCTCATACTCCATGCACAGGTGGCGGAGGTATGAGGTTGAAACTTGCAAAGATACTGCACACAGCAGTGAATCAAACCAAATTAAGAAATCAAATTCTGAATTAATTCCCACGTCTCTTCCTTTTCATGAATGCCATATATTTCTGAAATCTCGTTGGAACATCATCCTCCTCGATAATGTCAATGGCAATTTGAGGAACAAGTTCTTTGTGAAATATCGGATTGGCCAGAGCTCTCACCCCCCCTAATTTCTCAAGGTATTGCTGGATGAATAACATTGTTTTCGCGCCATTTGGCAAAATTGGCCTTCTTGACAAGCCAGCACATTCATTTCTCCATCCCAAGCGGTACATAGAGCTGCATTTCGACGAGTCACAAGTAGGGAAAAACCGTTCCCCAAGTAGAGTGGATAGGTTCTGAATGACATTGCGAAAACACTGTGCCTGTTATGCCCCAGAACGTTTCGTATGTGGCAATAACGTTGCCTCGTCTGAGTGATACTGAATGTACTTTGACCGAGCACCTGCTCCAGAGATACGGATGGGAAACAACATTCCCGTAAAAAGATAGATAGAAATCATCATTTCAAACCAGGATATACCCCAATCTTGTGGATCCTGATTGTCAACATCTTGTGGCCATCGCAAGGTTTCAACCCATTTCTTGATTGCAATACCAATGTTTGGCCCTTGGAGAACCATTTGAAAAATCTGCTGTTCACATTCAATAGGTGTCCACGCAACATACCCTGGTGGTTCAAAATTGCAAAGCCATTTGACAGCATCTTGTCCATAAGCTTGCGAATCAAAGACCCCCACAATCCTCTATTGTTCATGTCTAGGCAACTGCAGTTTGGTTGTATGTCCTTTGCCCGTAGCAACAGAGTGGTTCAATTGTTCACACCTCGATCTGTTGAGTTGAGTGATGTATTTGAAAACACACTTTAATCTGGCTTCTTCTTTGCGTTGAAAATCAACTGCTTTTTCTGCACACCGTCGTATGCACGATGGAATGGTCAAAAAAACCAGATTGACAACCATATCAGCACAAAAATTGCCCGCAATGTACCAAAGATCATCAAGGTCTTTCGTTTCATCAAACCGTCTGTGACTTTTGACTTTGCGAATGCAAAAAACATCCGGGCGCCACATCGCATGAAGTTGAAGGATCAAAGCAGCATTTGGCAAATGGTGCAAACAGAAAGCAAAGAGCCCAGATTCAATCAGTCTAACGACTGCACAAACATAGCTTGCATCTGTCACAAACTCCGCGGTTTCCATGGATTCTGACAACAATGCTATTTCACATGCACGCGCCAAAGCCTGCAACTCACCTCTTGCTACAGTCTGGTCACCAGACACCATTCCCATAGCCGCCACCCGGAACAGCGGTAGCTGAGGTGGTTGCAAGAAAAGGTAATCAACACACATTCTCCTTGCAGTGTCAGAGGTAGAAAGATCCTGAATGACAGCCCATGCCGCTAGTCTGCCAACATGAAAAGCAGGATGTATCGCCCCACCATCCATAAAAAAACGCAAATGTGAAATTCCAGTCTCACATGGTCTTTCCACTTTGGGCAATTTAATTGTTTTCACAAACGCTCTCAACATATATACATCATCATACAATCTGGGGAGTGGCATGAAACACCATTCAGGTCGCTGATGCTGTAATATGTCACAAGCTTCAACATGCTGTTTTCTGATGTCCTCCATGTTTGTGCACGATAGCATCCTGTGTTCCCTGGTATCCGGTTGACCACACAGTTGACATACTGGCACCACGGTGTCATCCCAAAGCGCCTTTTGTTGCATGGTCTGAAATCCCCCAACCATGTTGAGTTTCACAAGCTGTTGTTCCGTTTCATCGAGTTCCGAAAAAAACTTTACGGGACAGCTTCAAGTCCACAAAAAAATTTCCAACACCTTTGCGGGTCATAGAGGTAATGATGTGGCACTCCCACATCATTGCAATGCAATTCCTGATCTTCTTTGTGGAGTCTCTTAAAATGTTGCAGTGCAAGAGTTCCGGGCCAGTCAAAGTTCCGTCATCTGAAAGAGTCCAACCTACATGGTTAAGATAACCTCTCAAGGTACTTGCAGGTCCATAAGGGCGACATCCCTCATATTGTACTGCAAACTGAACTGTAGACTGAGCGCATGCCTGGTCAACATTACTCAAGCGTCTCACTGTCCTTGCACAATGACATAGGACAAAAACAAAAGGATCTTGCAAAAATTTTGCGATACCAACACATGCAATGAAAGGTGATGCGTTATGCCAATTGCCCACCAAAGCATGGGTAATTGCCCTTCTCACTGCTGTAGAATGTACTTGACCAATGTACACCGTATCAGCACTGTAAAAGGCCATCGGGTAAACAGCGGTCTGAATGAAAAGAGCTTTTTTTCTGTAAGGAACATGGCAGATTTTCAACCCTACCAATTCGCGAGATGGATTCAGCAATTTTTTCTTTCACAAAACCCAATGACATCGACTTGTTGTAGTGAACCACTTCACCCAAATCTTTGACCACGGTCTTAATGACAACGGATCCATTCTCCACCGGGAGATTGTCAGCACAAAATTTCCTAAATTCCTTGGTTGTCCCCCAGTGCCAACTCTTTGCATGATCGATCTGAAGCCTCAAAGCATTTGTCAGCCTTTTGACATCATCAAAGGCGACCAGGTGGGCCCTCTGTTGTTTTGTCAACCAGCTCCAGTTGTCTGCATACGCAAAAGGGAAAATGTGACTGTTCTGCAGGCCAAAATAGAAAAAAGCAGATGTCGCTAGCATTGCCAAAACGCTAATAGAGCACCCCTCCGGTACTCCAGTCGTTGAAAAAATTCCACGGCTGACACTTCCATTCAAAGTGGGATATCGCACCATTCTGTCCAGGCTAATGATCCATGAGGTCACCACCACATCAGGCACACCCAGCTGAATCATGACTCTGGCAACTGCAAAACGACCAAAAGTGTTATATGCCTTGATCAAATCAAGTGAATACCCTCCACATGTCTGACCACGACAAAGTGAATCTTCAATAAAACGCTTCTGTACGTATGCAATTTCCTTCACACCCCTCCCAGGGAGGCCACCTGAAATGGCTGGAGGGAAGACATTTCTCCAAGACGAAGCAATGGTCTTGAAAACCATCTTTCCAAACAATCTATACAAGCAGCTCAAGATAGTCACAGGTCTCGCATCATGCATGGATTGCGGCGACTCTTTTTTAGCCAAAAGGATAGTCTTTGCCATCATCATGTAGTTGAACCGTGTGGATGGTCCAATGAAGAACTCAAGGCTTATTTTGACAAAAGTAAGCTTTATTTTTTGACGGACAACGATGGCAACCAAAAAAGGCGGCGGCGGGATACAGAACCAAAAACAAGAACCCCACACAAAGATGTGGGGAAAAAATGTTGAGCCAAATTTTGCCCAGGCAGCTGCCCACCTGCCCGTCCAGAAATAAGGTCGATTTTTGCCAAAATAAGCCTTAAGGTCGATTTTTGCCAAAATAAGCCTTATTTTTGACAAAAATCGACCTTATTTCTTGACGGGCAACGATGGCAACCAAAATTGGCGGCGGCGGGATACAGAACCAAAAACAAGAACCCCACACAAAGATGTGGGGAAAAAATGTTGAGCCATTTTTTCCCCACATCTTTGTGTGGGGTTCTTGTTTTTGGTTCTGTATCCCGCCGCCGCCTCCTCCTCCGCCTCCCGCCCCTCCCGCCCACAACTTGTCCACACACAACTTGCTCACACACAACTTGTCCTCACCAAATCGCTGACACACAACTTGTCCACACACAATTTGTCATCACACAACTAGCTCACACACAACTTGTCCTCACCAAATCGCTCACTCACATACAACTTGGCATCACACAACTTGCTCACACACAACTTGTCATCACACAACTTGCTCCCACACACAAAGTGAAATGTGTGGGACATGTATAGGCTATGATCAAGTGTAGTATCATGTTCACCCAGGCACAGACCACAAATCCCGACACGTCGCAGAGCGCTCTTGAGCTGCTCAAAACAAATTTGGTAGCGGAGCCTCCTCTGGGGGGCTCCCTACCTGAGGCATGGCGCCTTGCTTGCTGGCTGCCGCCTCTGTGAGGCTGCCTCGCTCGCGGGGCGTTGCGCCTGGGGAGCTCTGCGATCCGGGACAACTTCACCTACCAGCTGTGCGCTGCTACATCCTTGTACCTCTTGACCCTCCACTTTGCCTTTGACTTGGCTGGTTTGGTCATTGAGTATACCCTGGTGGACTTGCTTGCCTTTGACTTCGGTGACATTGGCCCTGGACTACATCCTGGTGATCTTCCTGGCACGCCACTTTGGCATTTGGTCTCTGTGTACCTCCTGGTGATCCTCTCTGACAAGGGCGACGGCACGATGACCAGCCCACCAACGACGGGATCCATCCCTCTCCAGGAGTTCAGGAGAGACATCCCTCCAGGGTGGACTCCAGGCGATTCCGCCTACCCATTGCACCTCTACTTCGCAAAGTTGAAGCTTTGGTACCGCATCTGCAACTTGGATGACGAGATCATTGGGCCTCTCATTGCAGGCAGACTTTATGGCCGCGCTGCAAAGATTGCCCTGAATCTACGGGTACCTCGACCAGACGGTGGCTTCGACACCGGCGATGCTGCTCTCGCTCGGTTGAGCGTTGATGAGGTCACTAGAGCGGCAACCTCATCCAGAGCCACATCCCATCAGGTGTCCAGTACCTGACCTCGGCATATATTGAAGGCCGCATTCGGTCAACAGGACCAAGACTTGGCGACTCAGGCTTTGGAGAAGTTCTTCAACATCTCCAGGAACAAGATGACCCTGGCCGAGTACAGCGTCGAGTTCGAGTCCAGACTGGATGAGGCGAGCGATCGTGCTGGCCTACAGTTGAACGAGGTCGGAAGATTCTTCCTCTTCTTCAAGCAGTGGCTTGAGTGCAAAGACCGTGGATGACATCAAGCTGCAGATTGGGGGCGACTACACGCGCTTTCAAGAAGCTCGTGCACTGGCTTTGAGATTGAGCCCCAATCGCAATGACGACACCACGGAGATCTTCTATGGCGACCACAACGAGGAGGAGAACTACGACCTGGACTATTGGTACGGCGACCATGATGATGATGGCTGGTGGCAGTACTATGATGCTGACGATGGCTGGTACGATTATGATGACTCAGCTGGCATCTGGTATGACTGCTACGAGGATGACCAATGGTATGAGGAGGACTATGGGGAAGCCTCCAACGAAGAGGTGCAGCAGATGCCGACCACCGACAAGAACGAGGAGAAGAACGAAGATGATGCAGCCTACTACAAGGGCAAAGGCAAGGACAATGACGGATGCTTCAACTGTGGATCGAAATGGCATCAGGTCAGAGATTGTCTTCTTGCATGAGATGGCAATGGTGGCGGCAAAGGCAAGAACAACTACCAGAAGGGAAAAGGCTACAAGGGCAAAGGCAAGGGAAAGAGCAAGTCAAAAGGCTCCTGGGGCTGGCGTCCATACTGCAAAGGAAAAGGCAAGAAGGGCAAGAGCTCGAAAGGCAAAGGCTATGGAAAGCGATCATGGTATGCTTCCACTTCGAGTGCAACTACCTCCACCAACTTCAACGGCTATGGAGAGACCTACAAGAAGGACCCTTCAAAAGGGCTTGACATTGGCGCAGGAGTTCCCAACTCAAACACCTCACTTCCAAAGCCTGGCAACTCTCCCAAGGAGTACAACATCCATGGGCTTTCAGAGGACGAGGAGATCATCAAGCTTGGACGTGTGGAGCGCACCAGATCGAGCTCTACCAGTGAAGAGTTGGCTGAGGACGACAAGAAGGAGAAGAAAGACAAGAAGCATGCCACGGCTTTCTCTTTTGTCTCGAGCTTCTACGACACCCACGAGTACTTTGTGGTTCGTGGCCAGAAGAGACAGGGATTGATTGTGGATCCTGGAGCTGCCTCCGGACTCATTGGGTCTGAAACCCTCAGGGAGCTTCTCAACAACTGCGTGGAGCCCGACACCTTGCACACCAGGTGGAGATCAAGAAGGACAAGACTTCGCCAGTCAGTGGAATTTCTGGCATGTCTGACAGGACTTTGGGCCAGGTGACAATTCCACTGGTCACGAATGGCCAAAGCATTTCCTTCACAGGAGAAGTTCTTGGAGGTGAAGGCAGCCTATGCCCTGCTCTCATTGGCAACCCTTCTTTGCGACGTATGAGCAGTGTCTCTTCTGCAACTACTTTGAAGATGGCGATGGATTGCTCACCGTCGACATGGATGCCGACAACCACAATGACCAGGAGATTTCCAAGGTCAAGCTCTTCCGGCTTTTGCTGACGGAGTCAGGCCACTACCTGTTGCCGACAGACGAGCCGACCAAGCACAAGTTGCGCGATGGCATCAAGCAGGATGTGACGGCGTTCTTCAACAAGGTAGCAACACAAGCCACTCAGCTATGGCAAGATGTCTGCCCAAGAATGAAGCATTGCTTCCTTTCATCACGGCCTGCTCAGACGGAAGGCGACCGGGGTGAACAAGAGAAGGCATGCACCACTGCAACAGAGAACAACAAGGATGACACTCCGCTGCAGACATCCTCCACTTCAACTTCCGATGCAGCTGATGGCAACACTGATGAGCGGAAAGAGAACGAGCAGGAGGAGAATGACGTCAAGCACAGCAACTATGAAAATGTTTCACTTCAAGGCATTTTGCCTGGCGCGGATGCGCCCAGTGCTCAGTTGGAGCACCACGTACAGAACGACAAGGAGCTGACTAAGCCCTGCGACACTTTTGAGAAGGGATTTCAACAGTTTCACTCCGAGGATGACTTTCCGCAGTACAAGGAGGACATCCTACCGAATGACATGGACCAGGCAAAGCTCCGAAAGCGCTATCGCGCCATCCCAGAGGAGTACTACACCAAATCAGGTTTGAGGCCAATCACACCCAACAACTTCCAGAAATGGTTTTCTCGAGCCAAAGGACGTGGTCTGAAATGGCACTTCTGGGAAGTTTGCAGTGGCAGTGGAAGACTATCCCTCACTTTGCTCCTGGCCGGCTTGGTGATTGGATTTCCAGTGGATGCCCGATATGGTTGGAACCTTCGCAACAGCAACCACCAACACATGCTTGACATGGCACGTCAAGAATTCCAACCTGGTGTCATCCACCACTCTCCAGATTGTGGACCATGGTCAGTCTCTGCCAACACCAAGGACCCCGAGACCAAGCACTGTGAACGACTCCAAGAACAACCATCAATTGCTTGGGTCCAACGATCATGCGAAGATCAAAGTCGTCATGATCGCGGCTACTTGGTGGAGCAGCCATGGGGATCAGCTATGTGGAGAGATGACAATGAGTCACCACTGCGACTTGACAAGATCCCAGAGAACAGATCGAAACAGAGATGTGACCAATGCATGCACGACCTCAGAGATGAGAAGGACATATTCATCCAGAAGGCCACGGGCTTTGGTGCTAACTTCAAGCTGGTCAAGACGGCATTACGATGTTCTGGACATCGCGGGAAAACCCACTCACATCTTCAAGGACAAGCACCCAATGGGCTATCCCGAACAGCAATGACAGCCGTCTACCCAAAGACCATGTGCCAACGGATGAAACAGGACATCATCAGCTTCCTCCAGAAGAAGAACCTTCTCAAGACCAAGCTCTGGGCACAAGATCTATGCTGGTTCACATCTCCAAGCTTCTACGAATGTGTGCGATGCACACTTGGGCGAGCATGCCCCAAGGACATTGAGCACTCAATGATTCCTGGACAATGTCGACATGGCAAATATGCAGCTGGCACCAATCCACGACTTCAGAAGCTTGAGGACAAGGACCCCATGAAGCGATGGAAAGACAGTGCCAACAAGGAGTCCTACGAGCAAGTCATCGTGGACAACAACACTGGCCAAGAACTCACTGTCTCGGCATCCCACTACATCAAAAGATTGCTGATGGAGACGGTGCACAATGCTCTTGGACTCTTTGGTGAAGCTGCACAACGATAAGTTGACTACGTCCACTGGATTGAGAACGCGGTGACGATGGCACTCTACAAGGAGATCTTCCAGGAGCACATGCAGGTGAAGGCCGCCAAAGTGGAACTACGGCCGTTCAACAAGACTCCATCAAATCCAAGAGTGGCATCATCAACCGCCTACCTGAGAATCCACATCACGGGCCATGTGAAGCACTGGACCATACAACCCGTCGAAGACATGCGGGAGATGAGTGTCAACCAGATCAACGAAGCCATTGATGAAGAGAACTGGATGGTAACGATCTATGGGCAAGAAATTGGAGCAGTACCTGCACCATCAACTCCATCATCAAGACCTCGCAAGATTCCTCCTCAACCTGGGCTTCCACCACGTCAAGATACTAGGTTCTCTCCGGGCATGTTTTTGTTCCAAACCAGTTCTGAATTGATGTGCGCACAAGGGTTTGTTCATTGGCGACAAGATGGGCTAAGAAACCCGTTGATCCCCTAGCCTTTTGTGATTTCCTGTGTGTTTCGTATACATTTTTGTCTGAAAAAGGTAAAGTTACTCATCGACTGGCTGAATTTTTGCTTCGCTGAATCACTTTGACTGTGGGGCCTGTGGGGTTCCATGATTTCCATCAATTTCCATGATTTCCATGGATGGAGTTATCTGGGTGGAAGAATCTCCAAAAAAAACCTTTATTGATAGGGTTTTGTGGGCAATTTTGGGTTCTATGTCATGCTCGACAAAGAGTGGGTCATTTTTGGGTCTATGTTGGGCCCGTGTTGGGCTTTTGGTGGGCCAGACTTTGACTTTTGACATAAAACACTTAAAAAAAAACCTCATAATTTTGCAGTCCTGAATGCGCAGCGCTCCATTGTGATTTGTTTTCAAACTAACTTTCCCGACTTAGGTGCGGTGCGGTGTAGCATGGGCGTTCATTTGTGATGATACAACTGGACAAAAAAAATTGGAATGGACATTTCAAATTTGAAATTTGAAACATACTTTACTAAACAGAATAGAATCAGTCCGAGTCTCGAGTCCAGGCGTGGCGTTTCCCTTCCAGTGAAAAGTCAGATGAACATACCGGACCGGCTGCAAGAATGCCGAGACCCGAGCGCCTTGTATATGTGTGCACCTATATGTTTATAGATCTATATACTTTTGTTATCTGGGATATTATATATGTTTGTTTTTCACTTTCCGAAATCTGCAAAGTTTTCATCAACGTATTGAAATGAATTTCATTTCTCGAAGATGAAACGTTTTGATGTGCCAAGTTTGTTTGTGATCCAATCATCAGTCATGTTCGAAATCCCGCAACGTTGTATTTCACACGTGACGGATGGTGGCAGTGGGAAGTTGAAAAAAAATGAACTGAATCTCCTTGAAGAACTGAGCTGAATTTTTTTCGTTGAAAAGATAGGTGACAAACGCCACCAATCTCTTTGATGACCACCCTTCCCTGCTTGGAACTTGGAGGAAAACAGAAAAGGAAGGGAACGTTTTTCACGATCGGATGTTCATTTGCCCCAATTTTTATTTCCGGTGGCTCACTGTTTTCCAGCTGTGATGTCAGCATGTTGCGTTTGCAATTTTCCGACGTTTTCCTCGTTTGCGTATACCGGACTATAATATATATATAGTCGTGCATATGTATGTTTTTATCTTTATGAATACTTCAACGCTGTGAATGTCATGCAAGAATAGCTCAGTGGTTTGAAATTTCCATTGCAGCCGCAAGATACTATAAGATTGCGGCTGCAAGAATGCCGAGTTTTGAAAAGAACACATGATCGGATGCATTTCAAGTCAAGCTGCAGCTTGCTTTGTGTCTACAGGGTCCAATGAGGCCATTATTTGTGCTTGAAAATGCAATGGTGTTTGTCGGTTTTTTTTTGGCCGCATTCCCTGATGATCACAAACATGAGCGACTGTCCCCTTTGAAGATTCGACGCCACCGGATGACCAAACCAAATTGGCTGAAAGTCCGCACAGTCCGGTGTCCATTGCCAGTTGCCCCGCATGAGTTGCAAACCCGGACCTTGTATGCCCTTTGTTTGGCTGAGTATTCTGGCGCATGGACTGGAGTGACAACTGTGATGTCAGCTGAACAATCTTTACTTTTCCGATTCTGGCACTACCCCACAGATGCTTACTTTTTGAGGTTGTGTAAGGTTTTCACGCTGTCAAAGCCTTTGCTTGTGAAAGAAGCTTTAACTCAATCGTTTGTGCGATGTGGGGATGGAGTTTATCGAGAGCGATGTGGCAGCTATCAGTCAGTAAGGCCAGCTTCAACCACTTGGCCATACTTTCCAAGAGCAGAGCAAGACCTGAACAGCTTGACTGTTTTGACTGATATAGAAACAAGTGTTTTGATGTCTGTCAGGGATGTCTTGAGGCTGTGGGGATGTGCGTCGACCGATGCTGCCGATGTTATGGTGTTGCCCATGCCTGCAACCGTAGCTCATTTGGCAACGCGCAAATTGTGGAAAGATTTGGTCTGTTTGGGTCGTTGGCCAGAGTTCACAAGTTTGTTGCCTGACAATGTTCAAACTCAAGTTGGCCTGGTCGGAGCAAACCCTCCAAGGCCTGAGTTTGGTAGTCTGGATTTGCCAGCGTGTAATCAAGTGTTGCATTATTTGAAAACATGGGCTCCTTTGATTCTTGCCAATTTTGAGAATGATGGGGTTACTCATTGCAAAGCGATGATGACACCTTTATTTGTAAACGAAAGGAAAAATTTTTGTGCAACAAAAATTAAGCTGTGACCCTGGCATAAACTCACACCTGTCAAACTGTTTAAACCTCTTTGTAAAACTGAGATGTTTTTGACGTTGGTTTTACGAACAGTATCACAACTGAGGATATGAGACCTTATTTTGTGATTTGGGGTTTTTGTTGTTGGATGAGTTTTTGTCAAACAAAACCTACCAACAAAAACCACTGTGTCAAGGAATACATATATGTATGTCCGCGCACGCCTCAAGATTGGGAGGGAGGTGAGGGAATGACTTTCATTTGCAAAATAGTTGCAAGTGAGAGATTTAGCTTGGGGGTAGCTAGAGCGGTGCCATGGATGTGGCAGAGGAGGAGCCTGGTGGACCTTCTTTCGCAGGCAGCCCTAAAGGGGATAGACTGTTTGGGGGCCCTGAACTTGAGCACAACTCTCCATATTATGAACCGTCTTTGCTGCCTACGGATTTTTCAGAAACACTGCCTTGTCCATCGTTTGAACAACCTGTTGCATTGGCTAGCAATTACAATGTGGATGCTGTTGTGAATTCTGCATGGAACAGTTTGCGGTCAGATGTTTACAAGTTGCCATGGGAGACAGATTTTTGGAATCAATTTCTTGACCCTGGAGTCACCGTCATGGAGCAGATGGCAAGAGGTTTCAAGAGGTCTATGTCCACACCTGCTGTGACAGTTGCAGAAGCCTCGGACAGTGCAGAGGTGGACAGGCGGGTATCAACCAAGACTTTTCCCTTGATCACTTCTTTCTTGCAACACAAAGATGTGCCAGAACGCAGTTGGCAGGAAGAAAGAGAATCGTTGTGGGAAACTGGTATACGACGTTGGGTTGCTTTGGTTGAGCAATGGCATGTAGGTGATTCAGTTCTTTTGCAGTCACTGCACAACAAAAGGACGTTTACCGAAAAAGCTCAGATCCTGGTTGATGTCTTTTACAACAAGGCGCCTCAGACGCTGATCAAAAGGGCTAACAGCCTGAATAGCCTCTGTGGAGCACTTCGAGCGGTAGGGTCTGGTTTTCCATGTTCTGAGGAGGAATTTTACAACTTCTTGAAAACGGAACCCAACAAGCAGGCACCACCATCAAGACTTAAGGCGTACTTTGAGGCCGTGGTTTTTGCTAGGCATGTACTGGGATTGGATGAGCTTCAGCAGGTTGTGGTGAGTAGGAGATGTTTGGGCGCAGCTTCACAGAAACCTCAATCGTGCCCTAGGCAGGCTGAGCCTTTTACAGTTTCGCAATTGAAGAAACTGCATGAGGTCCTCAGGGATGGAGAGGAGTTGTGGGACAAGGCAATGGCAGGTATGCTGCTGTTCTGCATCTACGGGCGGCGGTCAAGATGGGCCGATGCACAACACGCTGCAGAGATGATGCTTGACCGCGATGACAGCGGTGAGATTCAGTCACTGGAGTTGAAAACTGCTGTACACAAAACGGCAAGAGCTTTTCACCTGCGTCACATGTTTTTGCCAATTTCTGCACCGGCTCATGGAGTTACAACAGACAATTGGGCTTTTCAGTGGTGTAGGGTGAGGGACATGTTGCACATTTCAGACCTGGGTCGTTTTCCGCTCATGCCTGCACCTGACAGAAACCTGGAGGCGACTAAGCGTCCTGTCACCACGCAGGAAGCAAAACTTTGGTTGAAGCACCTGTTAGGTGACACTGCTGCGCGTGAGGCCAAGTTGACCAGCCACTCATGCAAATGCACTTGTTTGTCTTTCTTGGCAAAAAGGGGAGCATCAATTGAGGACCGTCTGGCCCTTGGATACCACTCGAACAAGATACGCATTGCATTGGTTTACAGTCGTGATGCAGTAGCTAGACCTCTTGCAGTGCTGGCACATGTCTTGAGAGAGATACGTGAAGGTATTTTTGAACCAGACAACACGAGGAGCGGCAGGCTTAAACCAGGGGCTGGGTCCTTAGATCGAGTTGGAGTTGAAACAGCAGTGACGCGAGAAGTTCAGGCAGCAGGTCAGTATGGAGCTGAGACCTCAAGTGAGCAACATGTAGGCAGTCAGGAAGGTCAGCCAGTTCAGATGTCAGCAGACCAGAATGAACCTGCTTTGGACAGTACAGATGATGAAGGACACGTGACCACGGACTCAAGCGACTGTTCAGATGGTGGACGTCAAGCATGGGGCCCAGTTGTTGGTCATTATGTCATAGATCTACCACATGACAAGAAGTTGTGGCAGAACTGCAATTCAAAAATGTTTCATCTTTCACATGAAGAGCATGTGAGAGTTTTGTTGTGCGGCCGAAGGATTTCAGGATCATTTGCCAGGCACGATGGTGCTGTCCGTTTTGACTCTGCAAAATGCAAGTTATGTTTCAGGTTGAAGGACAGTTGACGCAGTGTCGACCATGGTCTGAAAAGGTTCAGCGGCCGATCCATTTCATCAGTTTATTTTCCGTTGTTTGCATGTCAACATATCCACAAGACAAACATGTTGAAACGTTTTGTAAACGGAGACAACATGGTTGAGATGTGCTGCATTTTCAACATGGCTGCGTTGATCTGTTTCCATGGGAAACTTGGCAACTGACAGAGTGCATGTTTGAAAAATGGGAAACATAAAGGAGATGACCACGACAAAGGGTCTGTGGCAAGAATTCAATTTTTCCTCGCAGACAAATTTTTGGAGATTTGACATCGAGGAATCATCTGCGGGTTAAGGTTCAAGAGACTCGCAGAAGATAGGTCGATACAGGTCAAGTCTCCT